CTCTATATTGGAAAAATCTCATTAGTTCTAGACCAACTAAAGTTAGATTAAATTAAAAAATATGCGCAAAAAAAAAAAAAAAAAAAAATATATATTTTTATGATACACATTTTTTGAATATGCATAAAGGTGTAAAAAAAAAAAAAAAAATTATCAAACTTTATTCATTTAATATCAATAATAAAAAAAAAAAAAAAAAAAAAACTATTTATATGGCTTATGGTGTAAAATATGTATTTTTTATTTTTACATAATTTTGTTTAAAAAATTAAGTTTAAAAAATTGTCTTTTCATTTCTGTATTCTAATATTTTTTTGCTATTAAAATAAAAAATGTTTCATATTTATATACATTTTTTTAAAATTATCCAAAAAATTGATTAAATAAGTGAAATGTGAAAATTAACGTAGAATTTTCTTCTTTTATATATATTTTGTTTTTTTCTAAAAAGATACGTAGAAAAAAAATTTGTAAAATAATACACAGTAATCCCTTAAGGAATAAAGATGAATATAAATGTAAATAATTAAAAAAAAATATAGATATATGTATATATAATGTTTAAAAGAATATAAGATAAAGAAATTTTTGGTTAATAAAATTTAGAGAAAATATATTTTATATAGTAAAATGAAAAAATAAATAATTCTTATATATTTATATATATATATATATAGATATAAAATAAAACATTATAAAGAGTATATAAATATATGTGTTTATTAATTGAAAACACAAAAAGATATATGAACGAATGATAAAAAAAAAAAAATTCTATATATTTTATATAAAGAAAACAAATTCTTTTATATAATGAATAATTCATATATAATTAAAAGACACACATATATTTATAATTGTTCATAGATAATGTTACTATATTTAACGAAAATAACAATACATAATATCTTATTTTCAAATCATAATATTCAAAATTAAAAATAATTATTTTTTCTCCATTTTTTTTTTTTTTTTTTAGGGAGATATAGATACTAAAAGCTTAATTGAGGTAGATCAATTCTTTTAATTTTGTTATAAAAAATGCATATATATATATATATAAATATATAAATATAAATATGTATATGTATTTATATTTTTGAAGGAAAGAGAAATATGGAAAAAAAAGTTTCAAGAAATTGAATCAGAAAATTTAATATTGAAAAAAAAATTAGATGAAACTATAACAAATTATGAAAATAAAAATGTCGAAGGAGAAAATTTTATGAAAATAAAAACAGATATGTTAATGAAATATGAATATATGGTAATTAAAAAAAATATATATATTCATTTAATTAATATTTAATTATTATATAATTATTAACATATTTTTTTTTAAATTTATTATATACACACAGGAAAATAAATGTGAATATCTGGATATAAAAGTGAATATACTAAGTTTAGAAAAAGAAGAAGAAATTAGAAAAAATAAAATACTTCAAAAAATTACTAATAAACAAAAAAAAGAAATTGAAGGATATATAAAAATATTAGAAAAAGTGAAAAGTATGAATATATCATCTAAAAAAAGAAAAAATGAAGCAGAAAATCAGATTTCTTCTATGATTAATAATGATTTATTAATAAAGAATGATAACATTCTATTAAGAGAAATAATAAAAGTAAATGATAAACTAAATGATATAAATAATAAACTAAATGAAAAAATTATAGAGGAATTAGAAAGAACAAAAAAAAAATTACATATAGCTAATAGTAAAATTCGAAAATTTCATGATGCTTTTATAAATTTAAGTAATAGTTATTCAAAACATAAAGAAGAAATAAAAAAAAAATTATTAGTAACTCTAAAAATTAATGAAGAATTAAGAGAAGAGTTAGAAAAAAAAAAATCCATAGAAAAATATAACGTGGAAAATATAAAAAAATTAGAAGAATATAATGCAAAAAATATTTTATTAAATTTTTATGAAGTAAAATATAAAATAAATGATAGAAGTAAAAATATAATTTTAAGATATATTAATTTAATAACTAGTGAGAGTAAAAAGGAAGAAAGTGGTAATTCAGAAGAATTTAATAAAGACATATTTTTATACGATTTGTACAATATACATGATAAAAATGAAGAAAATTATGAAAAACAAATAAACTTATTAAAAAAAAAAATTTTAGAGGGAGATATTTCTTATCAATTGAATAAAAAAAAAGATGACATGTTTTTAGATACGTTATCTTTTCAAAATAAAGAAAATTGTGAAAAAAGTTTAGGGGTATATATTCTTAATAATTTAAATTCATCAAATATTGTAGAAATATTATATTACCATATTAAAATAGTAAATGATATTTTGGAGTGCTTTAATATAACACTATTACTTCTTTTATACATATATGATACTTATTTAAAAGAAATAATAAATAGTATTAACAATAGTTCTTATTTGCAGTCTTTAGAAAAAAGTCAGATAAGATTTTCAGTGTATTTTTTTATAACTTTATCTAGCTTTTTGTTTTCTACATTAAAATATATTCATATTTTAAAAAATTCAAATTGTAATGATTATTTAAAATTATTATGTAATGAGAGAGTTTTTCATATATTTTGCTTAAGTAAATATACTTTAGAACAATATATGGAAAAAATTAAAATAAAGTTATTTTCTTCCAATATAGATTATTCAATATTGACAGTTTTAAGTGATCAGTTAAATAACCTTTATGATTCCATGTTTACTCAAAAAAATATATACAATGAAAATAGTGAAGGAATAAGTGAAAGATGCCATCAAATAATTAATGATAGCAAAAATGAAAAAGTTAACAACAAAGAAGGAACAAATAAGGAGATAATATACAATACAAATAATGAAAAAAAAGAAAACACAGAAAATCAAACAGAAAAAATAATACTAGATTTAGATAAAGAAAAAAATATTTCGTCATTTGAATTATATTGTTTTTTAAATTTTATTATTGCAACTAGTATTCTTTTAATGAATGATAAAGATATATTATTTGGTTCATTTAATAATATAAATATAGATATACAAAGGGAAATACTAATAAAATGTGAGAATGTATTAAAATTAATTAAAGTTCCCAAAAAAATTTTTAGTTTCTATTTTTGTATGAAAAGATATAAATTTTCATTTAATAACTTTATAGAAATAACTACAAATTACAAAAGTTTAATATTAGGTAATGCAAATTATAATAATAATAAAGAAAAATCAGAAATTTTAGTTACAACTATAAATGAATTAAGTAAAAATATTTTAAATGAATTAGATAATATATTAGACAACACTAATATCTATTCTATTGATGGACATGAAACAAAAGAATTATATATTTTTAATATATGTGATAAATATGTAAATATGTACAATAATATTACATCTAAAAATAATGAAAATATGATAGAGAAAAAAATTATAGAAGAAAAAGATGATATAATAAGAAAACTAGAAAAAGATATAACTGATTTTGAAAATAAAATACAATTAATGAACAAAAAAATTAATCTATTAACTGTAAAAGAGGAAAAATGCAATAAAATGCAAATTGATTTAGATATTTTGAAAAAGGAAAAAAGTGAATATTTAAATATTATTAGTGATTTAAGAAAAAGCAAAAATGAAAGTACAAATGAAATTGCATATATTACTAAACATTACAATGAAACCAAAAATAAATACAATGAACTTTTAAAAGGTTTTGAACCAAAAAAAAAATATTTAAATAGTAATAAAAATAATGAACATTCTAACATAGATATTTATTATATGAAAAAAATTATAAATAATTTATATTATGAAAATTTTTTAACAAAAATAAATAAAAATTATCATTTGTATGATGAAAAAATTAACTATTATAATAGTTTATACAATGATTACTCAAAAATTAATTTTCTTTATAAGGATGAAAACTATGAAGATGATAAATGGGAAAATAAAAATACATATGATAAAAATACAAATGAAAATGAAGATGAAACAAATATAATGCTTAATAAGATTTTTGGTGATGAAATTTATTTTACAAACAAAAATCATAAAGTATTATTTGATGATATATATAATTGTGAATTAATTAAAAGTAGATTATCCAAGCATAAAACAAACTATTTTAAAAATAAATTATATCAGACTATTTTATGTAATTCTTTTAATGAACAAAAAAATAAATGCATAGAAATTGTGGACATAATTGAAAACTATAAAAATTTGAAAAATGAAATATTAAGAGAAATACTAAATATGTCTATAAATAATAATATTCATGTTAAAATGAAAAAAAATTACAAAATTTCTGAACATTTACATCATAAATTAATAGAACTGAAAAGTATGATAAAAAAATTTTATATTAATAATAATTTAAAAGATTTAAATAAAAACCTTCCTACATTAGAAAATGTACTAAATATAACTATTGAAGAAAAAAGTAATACAGGAGAAAAATGTGAAAAAATAAGTAATAGCACTAATAAAAATTTAAATAAACAAACATATTTACTTAGTGATAAAGTAATCTTGAACGATCATTCGTTTTCATATTTAATTCAAAATTTGTTTGATATATGAAAAATAAAAAAAAAAAAAAAAAGAAAAATATATAATCAAAATTTGTTTTTTCTTTTTAAAAATCATCAAACTATATTTTTTTTACTTTTATACATAGTTTTATAGTAAATATTACATATGCTATCTTATTTTATTTTATTTTATTTAATTTATTATTAATATTCTACAATTACTTATTACTTTATTTTTCAGAATGATCTACTGAATTTTGTGTTTTTTCATTGTATGTTTTTCTCAAATATGCATAAAAATTTTTTACGTTCATAAAAGTAGTTTTATTTATTTCAATTAATTCTTAATTTATTAATTAAATTTTCTTTTTATTATTAGTTAAATATATAATTAATATATATATTTACTGAACTGCATTATAATGAAAATTATATATGATGATTTCTTTAAAAGTTCGTTTAAATATGAACTTCATAAGTATAACACAAAAAAATATAAAATGCAACAATATAAAAAAAATTGAACATAAAAATTATATATTATAAAAAGAAAAAAAATATATAGAATAAAAAAAAAAAATTTATTATATTCATTTGAAGGAAACAAAAAAAAAGTTAATATTTTATGTTATAAAAAATTCTTAAAAAAAAAAAAAAAAATTTATATATATATATATATTTATGTATATGCATAAATTAAACATGATTTCTTTTCATTTCTTTTCTATTGTATTTTAAAGAATATACTTTGGTGTTAAAGATGATATATGAAAAAATAAATTTCAGAAATATTATATAGAAAAAAAAAAAAAAAAATACGAAGAATTAAAAATATTATATTAAAGATTTCTTTTTTTTTTTTTTTTATATATCATAGATGCAAAGAAAAATAAAGAAAAATGAAAGAGCGTAAACTTCTAATATTAAAAAATAATGATCCATTAAAAAAAAAAATAAATTTTTTTTTTCTTTCTTTAAGAAAATATGATAATTCAAAAATAAATAATAAAGAAAAAGAAGATGATTATTACACTAAAAGGGAAAATGATATATTCAAATATTTTGATGGTAACAAGAACATTATAAAGACTACTAGTTATATATTAAAAGAACATTTAAATAATTTCTTATTTATTAAACAGCAAGGAAATTTCTACAACTATTTCTACAATTCATATCCATTTATTATAAATAGATATGTTAATTATATTAAGGAAAATTATGCGAGAGAAAAAAATAAAGAGGATAAAGAACAGAAAAGTAATGATACGGCAAAATATAATAATATAGAAAATACGAATTATTTGTTTCTGTTTCATTATTATAATGGAAATACAAAAAACGAAATAGAAAATGAAAAATTTTTAAATTTTGTTAACAAAAATATAAATTATCATAATGTTACAAAATTTTTGAAATGTTTAAAAGAAAATATATATATGAATAGAAAAACTAACAAAAATGAAAATATGAAGTTAAATTTAATATTTCAAAATATAATTGATAAAATTAATGATACAAATGATATAAATAAAAAAATTGAAGTTTTGCTATACATAGCAAGTATATGTGACAAAAATTCATCTCCAGTTTTATTTTCAAATATTAAAAAATATATACAAGAAATATATGAAGTTTTAATGAAAAAAACAAAAAAAGGTGTCATAGAACAATATTTAATTTTTTTATTATATAAAGAATTTCTATCATCAAAAAATGAAAAATATATGAAAGTGGATATAAAAAATTATTTATCAGAAGAAATTTCTTTTTATAATTATTTAAAAAATGAAAATATAAACATTTTTTTATTAAGTTTAATATATCGTGATTTATCATTTTTAAATAATCATGAATTAAAATATGTTTTAATGAATCTAGCATTTTCAAAAATAAAAAATTTTGATTTTTTTACTAATTTAGATACACACAATATATTTTTAAGAAATAAAAATAATAATTTAAATAATTCACTACATACATTTTTCTCTAGTTCCTTATTAAGAAATAACTTTTTTTCTTTTTTAAAAAATTATGATTACATAGATTATTCAGGTGTTATAAATTATTCAAAGGATTTGAACTTTAATGACTTAAATAATTATATATGTCATAACTTATTAACCGCTATCATTCAACTGAATCACTCACAGAACAAGTGTTATGATTTGATTCAATTATTTAAAAAAAAATATTTTTTAGATAATGAAAAAAATACAATGTTATTTAATTATATTTTAAAAGTAAAAGATAATATGGATTATATGAATGAATTTATTGTGAATAATGTTATGTATTTAACGAAATACTTATTTAAAAATAAAAGTGGTTTTTCTAATAATTTATACTTCAATATAATGAAGGTTTATTGCAATTTCCTTACTGATATTAAAAATTCGGAAATTTATGATTTAAAAAAGAAAAACAGCTTAATTAATGACTCGAGAAAAACTATAAATTATTGCATAAATGAAATTTATCATAATATTAATTTATATACACTTAAAGAGTTTATTTCATTTATTGATTTAATTAAAAAATTACCAGCAAACTTTAGTTTTGAGTTAAAAAATGAGGTAGATAATAGTAATAAAATAAAAAAAGTATTATATAAAGATAAAAAAGGAGAAAATTTATTTATTTCAAAAGTTTTACATTTTAATATAGATGAAATAAACAAAGAAAATATTGAAAATACTGATGAAAAAAACATTTTACTTAAACAAAACAAATTGGGTGATGATAACTTTAACGAAACAGATAATATCCTAAATAATGTTAACAATAAAATGAATAGAAGTATAGATGAAGAAGGAGAAGATGTTGGAATAACTGAAAAAGTCTCTTTTAATATATCTAATAAATATGATAAGCATAATAAGGAAGAATTAGAAAATAACAAAAATGATAGCAACCCTTATTTTTTTAGTAAGAATAATTTAAAAACGAAGAAGAATGTGACTATAATAAATAAAGAAGATTTTATTATTTTAATCTTATTATCTATTTTTGATGAAATTAGTGAAGAGTTTGTGTTGAAAATTAAAGAAAAAGAATTATATTTAATGAAAGAAAAAAAAAAAGATAATATATTTGAATATATATATGAAAATCATTATAAATTATTTTTGAATAATTCTTCATCATATATAGAACATATTAATGAAAAATATGATGAAATAACAAAAGAACAAATTATAAATTATTTTGTTTTGTTTACTCATATAAATAAATTAGATATATATGAATTATGTTTGCTAGTTAATGCTATGAATGAAATAAATAAGTTTCATAAGTTTATTGATTTTTTTATATCTAGGCATATAGAAAAAATATTATATAAAGAGTTTAAAGGTGATCATATTAATGAGGAAATAGGGTTCAATTATGAATTTAGCGAGAATTATTTAGATAATTATATATCAAAAGTAAACGAAAAAAAAGAAAAATTAGAAAGTGTTCCTAATACAGTTGAGAATAAAAGTAGTAATAGTAATAAACAAATTGAAAAACATTTTGATGAAATAAATTTAAGTGCCCATACACCATATTCTTCTAATTTTGAAAAATATTATTATGAATATGATATTATTACGAGCACTATAAATTTATTTTTAATATTAAATGAAAACAGCATAACAAAATATACTATTGCAAAGTATTTAAAATATATTGATTATAATAAAGTGAATGTTTTAAAAATTAATATTAATAGTTTTTTTCAAAAAAGCAACATAGACAAGAAAATGAGAAAAGACAATGAGATTCATGTATATAATGAAAACTTAGATGAGAAAATAAAAAGTGAAAAAATGAATGATTCTTTTTATTTTGATAAAAAACTTTTTTATATTAATTCATATGATTGTAATATTATGAAAAATGATTTTTATAATAAAAATAATAGTAATTACATGGAAGAAAGGGGTATTTCATATACGCCTCTAAATAATGTAATAATTTATAATATAGTAGAAAATAGATTAAAATATGATATTAATCTAAAAAATCACTTATTGCATAAAGAAAATTATGAAAAAGAAGAAATAAAATATTTTTTTGAAAAAGAAATGCTAACATTAAATAATATAGCAAATTTGATGAATTACATTAATCATATTAATGATGATATGAAATATATGAATTTATTGACGTTAATATTAAAAAATATGATTCTTTGTAAAAATGAAATAGTAGAAATAAAAACATATAGAACGTTAACTACTTTTTTATTAAATATAAAAAATTTTTATCAAAAAATAAATATGCAATCTCAATATTCTTATTTAAACATGTTGATAATGTATTATGTAAAAAGTATTGAAACGTTCATGCCTTTTTTTTATTTTTCTGATTATTTAAAAACTATGCAAGTTTTTATAAAATATGATATAGCAAAGAATTATTTGAAATATTTAATTACTTTAAATAATGAATTAAATAAAACAAACATTAAAAATATAAATTTATACTTTGTTCACATTATTTTGTATTTATATCTAAAATTAAATTACATAAATGAAAATTTCTTATCTAATTTATTGCAGTATTACATTAATTCATTGCACCAAAGAATAAATAATATGAATGTAAACATTATTGAAAATTTAATGAAAACAAATGAGTTATTGATTTCTTTATGTATTAAAAATAAAAATATGATTCATTTTAATTACATGTTAATACAAAAATATGGAAACTTTTCAAATGAATTTAAAATTGATGATTTAGATGATATATCAGAAAATAAAAATTTTAATTCACTTCATAAAAATAATTCCAATGCAAAATTTTCAACAACTTCTATTTTGAATAAACAGTTTACAAACAGTTGTAGTTCATATTCAGCTGAACTTAATGAAAATAATGTAGAAGAGAATTTAAATAACAAGGAACATAGTAATAATTTGTTTATAAAAGAAAATAACGATAATATGATAAAAAATAATATAAATATATTACAAAGTCAAACAAATTATAAGAGTGATGATGATGAATATTTTGTAAAAAATATGAAAAATTATAATGATGAACAAAATATATCTAGCTATGCTAGCGAAAATGTGAATAAAAATATTACTGAAAACAGTATAATTACACAAAATTTTAAGTTATCATTTGTTCAAAAGTTAAATATAATATATTTTTTGTGTAAATTTAATTTTTATAATGATTTAATTAAATTATATTATTTACAGTTAATAAATGAATGTATGAACAGTAAAAACAATAATATAAGTGATGAAGATTATTGTAAATTATATGAAATATATGTACATGTCATCCTAAATTTTTATTTTATTTCTTTTAATAAAAATAATAAATATATTAATTTTATTTTAAGTAATTTACCATGCTATTATTGGTATAAAAGAGAAGAAGAAAAATTAAATTTATTTGTGTCATCTAAGCAGTATAATGATATTAATAATATTCTAAAATTATTAAATTTAAATTTCCTTATTCCAACTTTAACTGAAATTTACTTTATACACTTTTTTAACGATGTAAATAAGACAAATTATTCTCTTCAAATACCGCAAAATTTTTTATATCTTTATCAGAAATATAACTTAACCATTGATGATATAAAAAATAAAAATATTGCAATTTTATGTATCCCAGAAGAACATGAATTACGGTATTTAAAAAAAAAAAAAAAAAAAAAAAACTCAATTTTAAATATATTGTTAAAATAATTTTCATTTTAGTCTAATTTAATCAAATTATTATTATTATAATTATAAATATGTATTTTTTTTTTTTTTTTTAGAGGTAGTAATAATGATAAAAAAGTTTTAGTAAATGAAAGTGTTTATATTTTTGAAAATATCAAAAAAACATATGCAACATCTTTGTTATACTTAAGTGAAGTAATAATCATAAAACAATATTTATTTTAAATATAGCATTTTTATATAATCATTTTATATAAAATATTATGTCTATTTATTTCTTTATATATATATATATATATATGTACACATAACAAAATAAAATTTTCTTTTTTATTTATGGAATTAAAAATATTATTATTATTTTTTTTTTTTTTTTAGTGGAAAAATATGAAAACAGAAGAAAAATGTGATTATATAATGCGTATTTTGCATTCAGCAATAAGTAATTAAATGAATTCTCTTGTTACTGATTCATTATATATTTTCTGAAATCTATAAAAATGTTATAAATATGTATAGTTATTTCATTATATCTTTGTATATATATAAATATTTTTTTTTTCTTTTTTTTTTTTTTTTTTTTTTTTTATTTTTTTTT